CATCGTAACATATAGGCCTGGGTTACAGAAAAGAACATTTAGGTTTAATCTATCTAATAGTGTGTTGGTCATACTATACAATGATTTATAGCTTGTCTTTGTTGAATAATACAGAACATAAAGAGCTTTAAAAAATAACTGCATATTAAATCGCAATATTGGTAAAAAAAAATCGCAATTAGATTACTTTCCAAAATCGTTCAGCCCTAGTGAGGAGAGACCCCCCTCATATGATTGTAAAGCACTTTGGGTGTACAGCAATACACAATAAAGCACTATATAAATGCCTCATTCATTCATTCATTCATTCAAAACAACTGTTCCTAAGTTCTCCCCCCTCTGACATCACATCAAAATGGCAGCTTCCACAGGAAGTGATGTGGCTGTTGCTTTAAAAAGCAGTTGGACCTAGATAAAGGGTTTGATTGTACAGAGTGTGAACCTGGAAGTTTAACGGCAACAAGGTTTGTGGGAAACTTGTGGAAAAATAAATGTAATTATAACTTCAATTATTGTGTGTTCTGGCATTTTGTTCTTTTTAGAAAAATAATGATTAAGAAAAAAAATAGAACAAAACACAGGAGTAACAATCTTAGACTAAACAAAACAAAAACTCCATAACACCTTCCTGATGTGTACATGGATGTTAATTTGCTGGTAATGCCCAGTACAAGTGAGATGAGTGTGTGTTTGTAAGTCCAAGTTTATAGAGTCAACAGGTTAACCTCTGACACAAATGTGTCTTGAAAACAAATGACACATTTGTACATAGACTAACAATAATTAAAAGGTAGACATTCATTTTTACAGTGCAACCCTCTACATTGCGAGTAAATCACTCGCATATGTGACTAAATCTTCAATATGGGCAACTAAATAATGTCTATTGTTTGCCATTGGCTAATAAATTCTTAGATTTTACTCACCAGTGTGTGTGTTAGAGGCTAATTATAAGTTTAGCATAGATGTATTTTCATTCGCCGAACACTCTGACTGAATGCTTGAGAATTTTGCTCTCTGTCAAGTGATCTGTACTTTTTCAGTTCATCTCAATGGATGCGGAGCGCATCTGTATTTGACGCACCGTAAACTCTAGTGTGAAGGCGCACGACTCTCCGTCGCTTTGCTGAGAGTGCTGTGTTGTGTTTCTCACACATGCAATGAAAGAGAGCGAGAGAGTCTTACATACCACGCTGAATTGAGGCGCTACATGTAAACCATATTCTTTGTTCTATTTTCCTGTCTAAATAACGGAGTTCATTTAGAATTCTTCAGCTTTTAAGAACAAGCAGAAGATATGCCGGTTTCTCTAATGCTAATGTGCAAACGGCAATCTCATTGGCTGGTGCTCATCTATTACCGTCCCTGTTTTTATTTCAGCAAATCAGTTCGAGCGAATGCTGACAATGTGATTAATATTCATGAACTCAGCAGCTCATCAATCTTTACTGCGATGTATATTGTTATTAGTAGTAGAATTAGTAGTAGTATTATCTTTTAATAACAATTACTATTATCAATTACTATTATCTATTTTTTATACCCATGGTACGGCAGCAAAGTTCCTTGATTATTAAGCCGGAATGAGAGTATAGTTCCTAACCATATCGGCCTAGAAAATCGGCCTTTTCATTTTTCGTCGGTCTTAGTACACGAACTACAGAAGAGTCAAGTTTTAAATAGGAAAAATATAGAAACTCTTTGGTCATTTTTGAGTGAGATGCTAACGGTCTAATCAGATTCGATGATCTATGCTAAGCTACAGCTAAAAGTGCTACCGCCAGACCCGGAGATCGGCTGAATGGATTCGAAAATGTTAAAACTCAACTCTAGGGGAGTTGGAAAATGAGCCTATTTTCAAAAATAGTGGAGTGTTCCTTTAAACACCACCAGTCCTAAGTTCAGTTCAAATGCATTCATACATGGTTACCAAGTTTTAGTTCTAATCACATTGTTTTTAGTTCTATCATTAAATAGTGCTTAATTATCCTAATATACTGCATGATTGACTGATGTTAAGAGTGTACATTCAGATATTTAAGAAGCTGAGCCAATTTACAAAGATTAGTATTGTCATTATTATTGTTATTACTACTGTTGTTCTTGTTATTAGCATTATTTTTATTTGTAATATAATTATTAATTGATAGCAATTACTAAATACTATAATAAATTATTAATAATAAACAAAAATATTGTTAATTATAGTTTATATTGTTAGTATTAATACTACTACTACTACTAATAATAATAATAATATTAATATTTATTATTATTATTGTTGTTCTTGTTATTATCATTAATTATTTCATTTGGCAATATACTTATTAAAGGCACAATATGTAATTTTCGCCGCTAGAGGGCGCATATTCAAAATAAACAAATAGACAAAGGCGTAGTTTGATGACGCCGTGACTGAGTGTGGAATCATGGGAGTTGTCGTCTTCATCCCCACAGCTGATGTAATCTGACGGGACTTGGGCAGAAATCATGTTCATGGATGAGCTAATGATTTATTAACGTAGTAGAATGAAGCAGGGTGAAGCTGAAAGTTGTCGAAGCGAAACGAGGCTGCTGAACCAGTGTGACACACGGCTCGAAAGCAGCAGAGCTTTTATTATGCCACAGTCGACCACTTTGTTTCCATGTTTTCTACAAAACAAAACCGGAAATCGAGGGGTTATGACGTCATTGGCAGGCGACACAATGACACTATGGACACGGTCCGTGTCACTAGTTAAATTGTTTTTTCTCTGGATTTAAACATTCTCCGAAAAACATCTGGGATAATGTAAGTACACAAGTCAGTAAAATATATAACACTGTTCTAGTGGTTTTTGGATATTTTAATAAAAAATTCTTACATATCGTGCCTATTTAATAGCAATTACTATTAATAATAATAAATAATAATATTGTTAATTATAGTTATTATATCATTAATAATATTAGTATTAGTATTATTAATATTAGGAATTACAAATACTGTAGTTATTGTCCATCATTTTAAATTTATTATTAGTATTAACAATAATAATATTTTAAATATGAAATCATAATAATAAATGTTATTATTGTAATGTTGTAATTATTAATTATTTTTATTTGTTAATATTACAATTACTTGATATTAACAACATATGATAACAGTAATAATATAATTATTAATATATAATAGTAGTAACAATAATAATCAGAATTATTGTATTGTTATTCATTATTCTTTATTTTCTATTATTATTAATTATAACTGTTATAATTCCTACTAATTCAAAATATTATATATATATATATATACTAATATTACAAATAATTTTTATGATTTTTGTTAATAATAATAATCATATATTTAATTAATAATAATATAATTGCTTGATTTATTGATTTATTAAAATTTTATCATTTTATATAATAATTTACCTACTACTACTACTACTAATATATTTACTTCAATTTAAGAATATAAAATAACAATAATATTGTCTAAATGAACAACATTTTTAAGGTTTGAATCATCTGTTTAGCTATGACTCATTCAAGTGGGAAAACTGGTGTCTGGTGTATTGCTGTGGAAGAATGTAATACCAAGTATACTAATAACCGTGAAGTTGGTATTTTCCTGGTCTGTCTGCATAAACTGATGTAAAATATATATTTTTTAATTAATGTCAAAGCACCATTAAAGGTTTTCACGTTGTCAGCGATGAAATTCTGTGAATGCATTGAGATGTTTTTCCACCAAGGAGTGGGTGGACAGGATGTAGCACTGACGCTATAGCATAAACCACAATCTGTTATTCTTTCTAAAACCGAGACCCTTATTTCAGCGTTTTCAAAATCATTGACCTTTGCACACATTTATCTCATCCACCTCCTTTCCCTGTGCCATATTGCTACAATAAATCGCTACTGTGTACTATAAATACACAGAGAGGACTTCCCACAGTCTCTGTAAACAAAACACCCGTTCGTTCACATGACCTCTGATGACACCTGATCACAAGACAACGTGAAATGATCAGGCATAGCAACGATTCCTGAATGAATACACATCGTTTCATAAGTATGTGTGACGCATACATTCTTAAAGCTGTTTGTCGGATATTTTGATAAAGAAAGTAACATAAGAAGATAGTTTCAAAATGTTTTTGTACACACAATGAAATTCAATGGGGTCCATAAACAACACTGTTTGGACCCCATTGACTTTCATTGTATAGACACAAAATGTCAGAGTTTAGGATACTAAATGATAATCAAATTTTCATTTTTGGGTGAACTATCCTTTTAAAGATTTTCTATGCCATCTTTTTTTAACAAAAAAGCCGCTGAGTCAGTCATTTGCACAACAAAGCAGATGTTTAGGAAAAATCATTACGGAGTGCCAAGGGCTTCACCAAGTCGACTAAAGTTGCAGACCAAGCTAGGTGATAAAGTACGTATCATATGTCACGTCAAGTTCAGGGATGTTTTTGCTTGCGCCTTATCGGTTCATGAAGATATGAAGGGACTTGTTGTGACATCCTGTATCAAAGTACCAAACACAATACAGTCTTTTATCATCAAATAACTAAGAAAATCACTGTCCCAACTTGCAAAGGGTTTCCCCTGTGGAAATGGCCAACATAATACAATGGCAACTTGCTTTTCTTAAAATAAACATTGAATGGCGTTTAAAAAGCCATTTTACTTCCATAAACTGATGCATGAATGAAACGCAATACAAATTTCATACGTCAGGCATTGATAGGATAGTAAAAAACTGGACATACCAAAATATAGGCAACCAAAAATGAAAGTCATTTTAGATTTTGATGGAAGATTACGAAGACAAACATGTTTTTTCTGTGGAATAACACGCATGATAACATGTGTTAAGTAAAAAAAAGGTCAGTTTTGGTTTCATTCTGACTTCTTTTAGGTTTCCTCTAGTTTTGGAAAACACTTAAGCCAAACCTCCGCATCAGATAACATGATTAGACAGAAGTTTGGGTACTTACTGGTTTTCAGATTGCACGGGACAGGGCAAGTTGTAGGTCTGATGGGGGAAGCTCCAAGGATTGTTGGCAAACACGTAGCTCTGAAATAGAGGAAGTGAAATGTTTGGAGGCAAAGGTTCTGGGTGTTAGGTAGAGATGTACCGCTATTAAAATTCTGGCTGATGTGATAAGCTAAAAATAGAAAAAAGAAAGACAGAAAAAAAGTAGATAAAACTATTATATATATGTCCGATAACCAATAAATGGCTGTTATGAAAATGTAATATTAAATGCATTATATGCATTTAATGCATTGTATGCATTAAATATATTTAGAAATTGTTTTTTTTGGCACATAATATTAAAACAAAGGAAATTGACTACAAAAACTACAAATAAAAAATAAAAATAATCACTTTCAAGACATTGAAAATAAAATAGAAACAAAACAAATAAAATGTAAATATTTATATAAACATTTATAATATAAATCTAAATATTTTAATACAAAAATTAAAAGAATCATATATATATATATATATACATATATACACTTACATACACACACAAAAATTTTTTCAAACTAGTAATTAAAAACTATTAATCACAAAGTAAAATCTAAACTAAGCGGGAATGACACATTGAAAATAAAATAGGAACTAAAATAAAAATAAAATTTATAAACATTACAACTTTGAGCGGAGCAGAGTATAGCATACATAAAAATAGCGAGTCATTCTGTCTATATCCAGAATTTGTGTCTACAGGAAACCCTCTTCATTTGCACAAGTGCTATTTACACTCGTGATGACATCACTTTACTCCAAAACTGCCCAAAACTTCCTTTTTCCATTTTAAACCATCTTATTCTTTGAATTTTATTGAACACTGTCACAATAGAAGATACACGATAACAAAATTTTCACAAAACGGTGAGAAAAAGCTGCATGGCTTATCAGGAATTGTGTCTACCAACTGTTAAAATGACTCTGTGACCACAAAGACGTCATTCTGTCACCCACACACACCAAAGTCTTGAGGTTTTGCCAGATATCAGAGTGAATGACCCGAGTTTTTGAAAAAATAAACCAGTAACGAACATTATGACTACATTATGACAAATAAAAGAGTGTTCACTAGGTACAATAGCTTAGCATTGTGTCTTGTCACAGCAAATGTGCTCTTATACCAAATATGCTTATATCCCTGTGATAACAAATGTAACTCTATACCAAAGGCATTGTGGTTAACAATATAGGCTAGCAACTGAAAGGTTGTAGGTTCAAACGTTTTTTAATTGGTGTGACCAAAAACGTTCCACTTATAGATGCGAAGACATTATGCTAAATGAGAGGTAAATTTGAGATAGTTACCATAGGGGGTGCCAGGATAAACCCCCCGGCATCCATCTGATGTCCGTCTAAATGCGAAAAGCTGTGCCCGTCCATGGCAGGCGGAATGGAGAGCGATGGCATCAGACCGCAGTCTTGTGCATGACGGACGAAGCCCACACTGTGTAAACCTGAGCGAGCTGGTCAATGTCTTCTCACCATGACCTGAGTACACAAACACAAGAGACACAGGACATTCATAACGGTGGAAAAACCAGTGAGCATGCATGAAGAAGCAGCTAAGCTGTCAGAGTTAAAACGTCACATTCATCAGTGAGAAATACCCTCGAATGGGGAAAAAGTCTGTAAACTCAAATGACACAAAACGTCATCTGGAACAACATGAGGGTGAATATACATGGCAAAATTGTTATTTTTAGATGATATACACCAAAAAATAATCCATTCCTGCTCTCCAGACACTCTGAATAGATCTATTATCATCAACTAGAGGAGTGTAAAGTTTCACACAAAATCCTATGAAGGCTTTTATTGACTATGCCACCTGAGACTTGTGTGACGGCTCAAAAGGATAATAACTGAATAGAGTTCCTTGTGAGGATACAAAATTGAGACATTTTGAGCCACAGAGCAGTTCAAATTAAGAGAACAAACACCTTGGTATCAAGTGAAAGGACGATTATTAAGCAAGGGAAATTCTCTGAAGCGTGAAGCACAAAACAACTTGTGTTTCTCGTTAGGAAGTTGATAATATGCCAGAGAACAGTTAAAAACACCTTATATATGAAATTCATCCACAAGGTGAAACCCTGTTCATAGTGAATAAATATTTACATTCGATTTAAGTGGCTGGATTTCACGCACAAAAAAAAGGTGTCATATAATGGTAAATGTGAACACAATAAAAGAAAAGGTCATAGAAATGTTTAATATTAATGGTTAATATTAATTATGTCTACCTGCGCAGTCTTTATTATGTCAGTTGAAAAGAAAGGTTGGAACAAAATGTCTAGGATTATGAATAAAAATGTTTTTCTCTACAATAGCATGTACTGAAAAAAAGACCAGGGACTTAAGCAAGTAAACTAGATTATTTTAATTTCATGTCGTCTTTTAAAAAAAAAAAAAAAACCTTAATCTCTCATCCATATTTCTTACGCCACTGAATGCCTGGGCAGTCAATGCATCTCAGTAAGAGGAGGTGTCCATCTTTCTAACCCCCTGCCACAAAGGACAATCAATACTGATTACTATTGAGTTCCCAAATGTCCTCTTCCTGTAAAGCACAATTATCTTTACTGGAAGACAGGGGAAAAAAGATGAGAAAGCACCCAGGACAGAGATTTTCATTGGAATGAAGAGCACACTGGTTTTATTTCACATAACATCTAGATAATAGGGAAAAAAACAAACAAACAAATGAAAGAACTACTGAAGGCAATAAAACTGGGAAGTTGAATTGAAACGAGAAGGAAGTATTAAAGGTACGTGACAAACTATTTATTTAACCTTTCTAAAAGCATTAACAGAGAAGAATTACTGCCTTGTGACTAGTAATGACGCAAACCTGATGTGTTGCATCTAAACGCATTGTATTTCAATAAATTCATTTGTTCTTTAGGAGTAAACTAAAAATAGGGCAAAAAAATCATAAGTGGTGGAGACGAGAAGGGGGAATTCCTTCAAGAATGATGTAAATCCTTCGGTTTGGCCTCCAAAAACCATCTAAACGCATCGTATTTCAATAAATGGATTCGTTGTTTAGGAGGAAACACTAAAAACAGGACATAAATGTCATCAGAGGCGGAGACAAAATTGGGGGAATTCATTTAAGAAAGTAGAAAATCCTTCGGTTTGACCTTCAAAACGCATTATATTTCAATAAATATATTCGTTAATATGATAAAAAAAATAAAATAATTACTTGCAGTGACAAGAAGGGGGAATTCCTTTAAGAAGGAAGAAAGCTATTTGATTTATTTTAACTGATTGACTACACACTAAAAATAGGACGAAAAAGTAATCTTTGGTGGAGACGAAAAGATTGAAAAAAAGCTTTGGTTTGGCCTGCAAAACCATCTTAACGTGTCATATTTTAATAAATGGATTTGTTATTTAGGACTAAACATGAAAAATAAGACAAAAAAGTCATCAGGCACGGGAAGAAAGAAGAAGGAAGAAAGTTCTTCGATCTGGTCTCCAAAACCACTTAAAGACATTGTATTTCAATAAACTGATTTGTTATTTAGCAGTAAACACTAAAAATATGAACGAAATAGTCATCACTGGACGAGAAGGGGGAATTCCTTCAAGGAGGAAGAAAATCCTTTTGGCCTCCAAAACCAACCGAGCTAAACGAACTAAAGTTTCAGATCAGGACAAAAAGTGCCCGTCTGATAATCACATCAGAGGCTTGCAGATGGTGTGAATTACAAAAGCTAAGGAGATTATTTTGTGACCTCAGCCTATGAGACTGTTGCCACAGCAGGGCGGCCTGCGGCGCGAGACCCTGAGAGATGCCTCACGCGGTTCCTCTAATCTTCTGTTGTCCGCTAGAGGCTACTGAGACGTCTTTTAATGGAGTGGGAAGAGAAGGAAACATACATGATGTGAGGGGGAAAAAAGTCCTCAGGCTTGCGGCGTGGTATGGATCACCATCAGGGGTTTCCCATGATCTCTTCAAGAGTTACTTAAGGACACCGCTCACATTCTGACGTGTCACGGTGAGCGGGAGCGCATGGAAGTCATCCAGGAACGTGGAAATGCTGGAAATCCACTGCCGCTCTTCCTCATGAGCTTTCATGAGGGAAAAGCTGCAGATTTCGTCAGCTTGGGGCTCCTGATGTTCTTGGAGCAGTGTGAGCAAAATGATCTGGAGCTCATTTTGTAGGAATTCATGCGTATAATCAAGTAAAGAGGGATTGCTATTTAACCGATTTAGAGGAGTTTAACAAACATGCCGGTTTCCGTCAACTATCTTTGTTACTGTTTGCTTTATGTGGTCCGATGTTAAACTTGAGTTGTATCATTTTGTCCTCGTTTGCTCTTTGTCTATCTCAGTCTTTCATCTATGAGTGAAGGTCTTGTCGGGCGACTATGTTAGGAAGAGCCAAATGAGTGCGAGTTATCTGGCCGCAAAGACAGACTTCAACGGGTTTCACATGACTGGCTGGGAAAGCCGAGCTTGCGAACTCAGGGCAGACAATCCCAGGAGATAGAAGAAAATCATGCTGACACTTGTTTGGAAACAGTCAAAGCTAATGCAATTAGAGAAACAAACTAAGCATGCTAAGTGCGGCCAAACGTATTTGCAATGGCAAAGCCAGACACATTGATTGAGAGATTAAATATTCAAGAGAGGAAAAATTTACTCTGGGTGCTGTCACATTCAAACGGCACAAGATTAATAAGGCAATTATGATAAAAAAACATTAATCTTTCTATTTTATTTAGTTCAGCTCCCCTTGTCTAGGGTATTCCTATGTTCAGAATTATGGTATGGCCAGTACTGATAAGCCAATAATAATTGATCAGTTTTGGCCGATAACCAATTTATAGTCAATTTAAAATGTTATAATAAATGTACAGTATATACATTTATAAATATTAAAATCAATTTTATAGTATTTTGTCTAAAAAACTGAAAATGTATACTTTTTTTTTTTAAGTTTGCAGATATGTCACTGATATATACTACTGTTTAAAAGTTTGGGGACAGTGAGTTAAAAAAAAAAAAAGTAATTAATACTTTTATTCAAAAAACACTTAATAAATTGACTAAAAGCCACAATAAAAAACATTTACACGAAATATTATTCTATTTCAAATAAATTGACTTTTTATTTATCAAAATATCCTGAAAAAGCTGCTGTTTTCAACACTGAATATAATAATAAATGTTTCTTGAACACCAAAACATCATATTAGCATGATTTCTGTAGGATCATGTGACACTGAAGAGTTACTCTGGGTGCTGTCACATTCAAACGGCACAAGATTAATAAGGCAATTATGATAAAAAAACATTAATCTTTCTATTTTATTTAGTTCAGCTCCCCTTGTCTAGGGTATTCCTATGTTCAGAATTATGGTATGGCCAGTACTGATAAGCCAATAATAATTTATCAGTTTTGGCCGATAACCAATTTATAGTCAATTTAAAATGTTATAATAAATGTACAGTATATACATTTATAAATATTAAAATCAATTTTATAGTATTTTGTCTAAAAAACTGAAAATGTATACTTTTTTTTTTTAAGTTTGCAGATATGTCACTGATATATACTACTGTTTAAAAGTTTGGGGACAGTGAGTTAAAAAAAAAAAAAGTAATTAATACTTTTATTCAAAAAACACTTAATAAATTGACTAAAAGCCACAATAAAAAACATTTACACGAAATATTATTCTATTTCAAATAAATTGACTTTTTATTTATCAAAATATCCTGAAAAAGCTGCTGTTTTCAACACTGAATATAATAATAAATGTTTCTTGAACACCAAAACATCATATTAGCATGATTTCTGTAGGATCATGTGACACTGAAGACTGGAGTAATGATGCTGAAAATTCAGCTTTGCATCACGGGAATGAATTTTATTTTTTAAAATAGAAATCAGTCATTTTAAATCGTAATAATATTTCACAATTAGGGCTGGGCGATATAGCTAAAAAAATTTATCAACGATATAATGTTTCATATCGTTCGGTATCGATAATTATTGACATTTTTTATAACCTTTTTTAAAACAGAGCAATAGAATTTTTTTTTCAAATTTAACCACTGTATTTTTAATTTAACCCAATTTATTGAGACAAACAACAAATATTTTTTTGTTTTAACAGTTAAACACACAATAAAAATTAAACAAATTATCTGATTTCTAATGTTTTATATGCAGATTAAATAGGTCTCAAGGAATCTTTTGGCTTGTCTCCCGAGGCCACAGGAGGGCGCAATGAGCAAAATAATGCAGCACATTTAAATTGTCAATGCAAAGAAATAACTGTCTATAAAAAAATGTGCATAACGACTAAATTAACTCATATAAATCAAATATAATTTCGTAAATTGCATAAACAATTATGAACAAAACAGCATCATGTATTTTTGCATTGCTTAATCCAAAGAGCCGAATCGCCCATCATGCAGATTGCATTTAAAATCATAAGAGATGCAGTGAAAAGGAGTAAACCTTC